CCCCCCCCTGTAAGTCGTAGTCGTCACTGTGCTTTTGAAATGTAGTGTGTAATGTTGCCGAGTGAGGAAGAGAAGAAAAATCCAAAATGCCTCAAACCAGAGTGAAACTGAAAATCTTTAACAGGTCAGATTTTTTCAGGGGTGTCAATCGAGCAGAGCAGATGATCCATTCTCTTATATTTCCACAATGATGCTTTGAGAATTTACAGCATACCGCAGGAATAAATACATTAACAGAGTGCTAGAAATCAATAGCAATAAAAGGAAAGGAGATGGTGTATAATAGTGCATTTATCCCACGCTTGAATACAGGCAGTTAATCAAGGTCTGCTTGGCCTAACAATGGTTTCATTTGGATGGGATTTAGCCCTCACATATATCGCAGGCCCGAGAGATTTAATCAGAGAGAGAGTTCAGCTACGTTGCCAGAGCAAAATCAGACAATGACCAGGCCAGGATTACACTGACGACTGATGTCAGGAGCAACCCACATTCAGCTTCTCTCTCTTTTTTTAATACAAATATAATCTATGCAGGAAAAGCCCTTTGACTGCATGCATAAAAAATACTGGGGTGATGCAAAGGAAGTCTATAACTCACAGGACTCTGAAATATGGATGTGCGCCACAGGAGATATGTGCTGCCAGGGTGTGTGAACCATTGCCTCCCTCCCAGCCTCCATCTGGACTTCATTGGATTACCAGCACAAAAAATAAGTAAAAACCTGAGTCATAAATGCTAAAAAATGTACATGATGTTGGTGTTGGTCAATAAATGTGAAGTCTAATCAAATCCTAGCATGGATTTTTAGGTTTATAGCTAACTTTTAAGGCTCCCTCTGGATTTGCATGTAAGAAAATGTGTGTTCTTTTGAGACCACATGTGCCCGGTCATAACCTGAGGTCCTCAGCGAAAATCCATCATCCCATTCTCCCCCTCGATGGAAATTTAAAATTTTAATTCTTCAGCCTTTCAATGTGCCTAAATTGTTGTTGATTGATTGTTGTTGCCATTATTATTGTTATCACAGCTTGTCTTATTGTTTTTTTATGTAAAAGACTTTGGATAAACATTGTTTCAAGTGCTATATAATTGAAGCTTAAGTGGAAGTTGAAGAGACGCTTCTTATCCTCTTTTAAATCTCTCTTAAAGACTCTTTTCCATCAAGAGCCATGAATTATCCTCCAAGAAATCAACACAAATGTTGAAAAACAATATTCGCAACACTCCTGGACCCCACAGTTATTGGGTTTTTCCCTTCACCCATAGTGCATCCTTCCACCAGGTTTTGCTGTAATCCATCCTGTGGGATTTTGTGTAATGCTGCTAACTGATAGACGAACAAACAACAAAGCAAACACAACCTCTTTTACAGAGATAATATTCTCAAATTCTACGTGTTTATGTTTCAGTGTGGAGCTGGACTTCAAGCTGCAGGAGGACAAGCTCCAGCCCTTGATAAAGAGACTGTGCCCCCTGGACAGCCCACAGTGCCCTGCCCTGCCTTACTCCAATGAAGTGTTCACTTCCACCCCGAAACGCAAGTCCAAGACAGAGTCCAAAAAGCATGCTCGCTGGAAACGCTGGTTCCTTTGAATCAAACATGAAGGCTTTGGAAAACTGCCTTTTTATCGGGCACATTAATACCCCTGTTATTCTCTAAACGGATCAGCGGAATATTCAGAGGGAGCAATCAACCCATGAGGACGGATAACGACGGACACCGGTTCATTTGAGTTGAGACTGCATGTCCAGTCAGCTGAGGGGACAGCAGAGACAAAAAAAGAAAAACATTTTAATTCTGTCAAACCTTTTTCTGGCATGTGTGCTGGAGAGGTGTCGACACACACCTGAGGAAAACTAGGTGAGCTTAAGGATATTTGTACATGTATTTTTTTAAAGCTGCGTAACGACGGATGTTATTTATATTCTGGGTTTAATGCACCTCTCACTTTATGTTCATGTGGTTTTATTGCAACCTCCAATGCAATGCACTTTTGGTCTCTCTCCCTTCAGAGCATATTGCTTGGCAACGAGAGGAGGCGCCATGTGGAGGGCCTTTTATGAGTGAAGCTATAATCTTTGAATGGACATCCGCCCGACCTCCGGCAAAGCACAAACATTTGACTATTGACAGGAACATGCGTAAAAAGACTGAAACAGAGCACAGTACATGACAGTGTGCTGCTGCTGTTCTTATAACCCCGTCTCCTCTCCCCCTGATCCGTTCACATCCTGCTTAGTTTGTGCATCTGACTGAACATCTGCCTGCTTTTGTTAATAACCCCTGTCTCCTCCCCCTCTCACTCTATCCCTCCCTTTATCTCCCTCCATCCCTTGTTCCGTCTCACTGTGCTAAAACTGTGTCTCTCCCTTTTCTGTTGGCTACACTAACACATTATTTTCAGAATCCATATTTTGATATATAATTTTTTTTTAGCAAAGTAGGCCCCTCCTCTTTAAGCAGGCCCTGAAGAAAATGTCTTCTGGGTTACAGATTTTTTAAAGCAGCGTATACNAAGTTTCCTTGTGTGGACTGCAGTGAAGCCATTAGCTCAAGCGACATGACCCCCTAGACAAGACTGTTTCTAGAGAAGTACGGAATTAAAAAAGGCAAACATGACATTTTTCACAAATCAGTGAACATGATTTTGCAAAAATGGAGATTGTAAAAGTAGTCTTTTATCTGTTGGTTCAATGGATTATCCATTTAAGACAAGAACAGCATGTATAGCATTGTCAAGGTTTGCTCCAAGATCATTGGAGTAAAGCAAAGAGACTCATGTTCCCTCTGGGAGAATAAAGTGACGAAGAAGGCAAAGAATATAATCAGCCAACCTGATCATGTTTGGTCTGATGAGTTCACGGTGATGCCTTCAGGCTGCCATTATCATGTACCGCAGAGGAGAACTAAATTATATTTATAATCTTTCATTGCTATTTATTTTACCTCCTTAATCTTTATCTTGATGTCCTCACCGACGTCTGTATGTTTCTTGACCTGTGCTTTTTGACACATATTGGATATTGTTTGTGTGATCATCAACTCTGTAAGCTGCAAATGAATTGCCCTCCTTGGATCAATAAAGTCTGAATCTGAAAGAACACAAAGAAGAAATTTAAACAATAGCAGAACTTTATTAAGCAACACTTTGCGAGTTTGGCCAACACCGTTTACAACTTGGCCACTTCAGTCTCTTTCCAAAGAGGTATATTATCACAATATATTATCACTCATGCATCGTTGCCATGTTTGTTCCTGTCAAAAACCCTCATTCTCTGCATCGTCATCCAGTGAATGTGACTCATCTGTTTTTGTAGTTAAAGGCAGCAAAGATGAGCCATTAGATCTGATCTCACGAGAGTATCTTCAATGTTTTTCAAGTATTTGCATGTTTTTGCACTTTGTGTTTTAGTTCCTGTATTTTATGGATGGCTGATGTTTACAAAAGCACTTTTATTTAGGTTAATTCTCTCTGAGCTCTCTCTCACACACCTTAATGAAAAGGCCCCAGACATCCATGAGTAAGGTTCACATGTTCTCCCTTTACATCGTGATGCTTCAGGTTGACTCTCTCTTGCAAACACATATTTGATCCCACAGAAGCTCTTAATTCACTTGTTCTGCTCTGTTGGAAGCGGAGCTGGAAACATCCATTATTGTGAGAGAATGTGTAGAATTGTCTCCAAATTTATTGGCTTGTCCTGCGACAGCATCTAAATCTGGTTCCTTTGTACTTCCTTTTATGAGAACCTGAACAACACACTT